GTTTTAACTTTTAGTTTATAGAAATAATTTTAGTGAAAAAAAGAAGAAGCTTGTTTAGTAACTTTTTTAATTTTATCTTAAATGAGGGAAAATTATATAAACGATGATTGTGAAAATTTTGATAAATTTATAATGATAAATATGAGTGATTTAATGTAATAATTAATGAAAAATTAATATTTATCAATAAAAATAAAAATAAATCTATTGGTTTTAATATTTTAATTTTTAAAAACTAAAAAATGTTTTTAAAAAATATTTTTAAAAACAGAAAATAAAGAAGCCTCATTGTAGAATGGTTTCTTCATTCTATTTCAATCAACCTTTTAGATCTACTCAGAAAGCAGTAGAAAATAAATATTTTCTATATCCAAATGTTAATAAAGTGATATAAAATCTTATGGTAAATTTATTTTTTAATAGTGTCCATTATAAGTATACAGAGTATAGTGCCAACATATAATATTTTATTCTCGTATTAGTGCTTAATCTATTCCCCAACTTTGTTTGAATTCAAAATTTTAGAATTAGGAATCAAATTTCACATCAATTGAACATTTTTATCCCCTCTAATTAAGATGCTTCTCATTCTCTGGTCCATGATTCTTTTTTGTAATTTCAGGAAATTAATAAATTTAATTAATATGACGTGTGTGTAAAAAAATATTGATTGTATGAATATATGTTGAATTGTGTTATTATTTTTCAATTTAAAATTATTCTTTGGACAGAAACTCTAAGGACAAAATTTTTGTTGAAGAAAATTTAATATGGGCTTTTGTAATCTTTCCCTGCATAATTTTATTTTTATTTACTTATTTAAGACATTTATTTTAATTTTGCAAAATAAATAAGTTGTTGTAATATAATAATATACATCTCTCAGCACATGTGCAAACACACACACACAAATATTGTATTTATCTTTTTTTTTTTTTTTTGTCTATTACTTCATTCCTTCCACCATGTCATAATTCGTGCACAATCAAATGAAATGTACATTTCCTCATAACAGGGATAGATACATTGGTACCACATATTTGTCTTAACATGAAGTGTCAAATATCATTATTGTTGCTTTTTTAGTGTACCACATGTAGCTTTTAAGGACAAAGGACAAGATTCATTAAATACGATTATTATAAACAATAAAATTTCTCTCTAAATATTTAATAATATATTAATATACTTAGGATATAAGCTTCAGATTGTTAACTATTACGGAATAACTGAACTCCAAATAATTCAACATTTCATGATAAATATTATTTTTAATATCGAATTAATTATTATCTTGTAAAATAGTGATCAGGGAGTGTTTATTTTTAAAAAATATAAATAACTCTTTTTTTCTTTATCTAATTTTTGTATAATATAATTTTTTTCTCGTTTTATTTTACTAAAAGTAGCATTTAAGATTTATTGACATTTTATTTTCCTATTATTTAAGTTTATATTTCTTTGATTTTTTAATCTTTTCACCTTGTCATAATTTATTGACGTAAAAATGAGATGTTTTGTTACTGGTAATGAGGGCAAATAGATACATCAATCTAACGAAAATTTGTCTTAGAAGTAGGCATGGCAAAACGGGCTAGGCTCGGCGGGCCGGCCCACTAACCTGCCATAATATGGTGGACGCGGGTTGGTGTTTTCAGCCTACCAGCCGCTTTGGCTCGCCCGCATAGCCCATCAACCCGTCGAGTCAACCTGCAGGACGGGGTGGAGCCAGCCCATGGCCCGCCTAATTAATAAAAAAATAATTTTTTATTGTAATAAAATTAATTATAAAGATAATATATAAAGTTAAAATTTTAGAAAGAGAATTAAAAAGTTTCATTCTCACATAAAATATTCTCCTCCCGAGACATAACCTTCTCTCTTGTTCTCCTTGTTTATCCTAAGACTGATTATTTTTATCCTTATTACTTGAATTAAAGGTGTAAGAATTACTCAACCAAGAATAACATGAAGTTTTATCAAATAAAAAAGATATAGGTATTTAAATTTTTCAATATAAAAAATATAAATTTTATAAGTTTAACGTTATTTATATATATATATATATATATATATATTTGTTATTATTTATTATTATGTAAATTTTATTATTGTTCTAAATTATAATTTCTTAAAATAATGTATTGATTACATTATTAATTTGAAATAATATATATATATATATTGAATTATTGACAAAAAATAATAATTTTATTATTAAATTTATTAAAAAAATTTATTTAAAAAAATTATTTTTTTCTAAATTATGACTGGTCAGCTACTAACCCGCCTCTTGCTAGGCGGGCTAAGGTCTATAGCTCGTCATGACTATATCGGCCAGCTCACTCGCCCCACTTTTAGCGGCCAAAGCGGGCAGCCAAAACAGGCGGTCGACCCGTTTTACCATCCCTACTTAAAAGTGTCATTTCTACTTTGTTTTTTTAGAGATTTTAAGCATTCTCAGCGAACCCATTGTATTATTTAGAGTTTAAATTTGAAACTATTAATTAAATTAAAATAATTTCATATTAATCTATTTATTAGGGCATGATAAGTGATTGTTATTGATTTTCTCCAATGTTCTAAATATCTTTACATTCTAAATATATCATTAACTTATATTATTTTTCTTTATTTCTTTTATCATGTCATATTCAATTATCACAATCTTTGTCTTTTTTGTTTTTTTTTTAATACTTTTTCTGTCCGTAAAATAAGATAACAATAACTTATAGTCAATAAGTTATATTTATCTCTAATTGTAATTTTCTTAAATTATCTTTAAATAACAAATGTGGATAATATAAATGTTGAGAAAAAAATATCTATAGAATTTTAGAGTTTGTTTGATGATCGAATAAGAGATGAGAACCTAATTACAAAAAATTGAATAATAATAAAATAAATATTTTTTTTATTTAATGTTTGATATGTATAATAAATTATATTGATGATAATAATTAATATAATAATCATGATGATACCATAGAAGGGTAGAATTATAGGGGTGATGATCACTACATGTATTCTATTATAAATGATAAGGATGATGATAATATTAATGAGTCATAATAGTACGGTTACATTAATAAAACAAAGGTGGTGATGAGATATTAATAATTATTTAAAAATAATAATATTATTGATGAAATAATGTTGAAATGATTAAGATATTTGTAATAATAATAATATAAAAAGTATTGTTATGACAAATATGATAAAATAATCATACTAAAAGTTATAGTGATTGTGATAGTAAATGTAATTTTCATATAATAACTAATAATAATGTCAATAACAAAACACAAACAACAAAATATTATGTAAAAAGCTAAACAACAAAATATTATGTAAAAAGTTAAACACGATAAAAACAACGGTGAGATGATGAACAAAAGGATTAAAAAGAATTGTTGTTAATTTAATTTACATTACATTAAAAAATTTATATCTTATCAATGCAGAACGTGATAATTTTCTTGGTCATCAAATAAATTCTTAAGTATAGGATAATAATAATTTATAATATTAATGAATGCAAAATATTATTTCAACATATCACCGAAAATAATTAAATATTTAATCACATAATAATTAATAAAAAATTATAAGACAGTTAAAATAAATTTTTAATAATAACGTGTTATAAATTATAATTAACTAGAGAGTAACATTTAGAGTAAAAAGGTGAACTAATAATTTTTATTCTTTGTATCGGTGCTTGTCATACCCACTGTCGAGATTTTTATTTAAATAGAAAATGATAATTTATATTTCCTTCTCCCTTTAATAAGCATGGTTCTGATTCTACATTCAATGAATTTCTTATAAAACTATGAAAATCTTAAGAAATTTGAATTAATTATAAAGAATGGAAGAAATGTTATTTGTTATATACATATATTTTGATTTTTTTTTCTTTTTTATCCTTTTAAATGTCTCTCTAAAAGGGAAATCAAAGGATTTTTACAAGTTCAAAAAAATTAACACGAGCTTGTGTAATTTCCACAGTACAATTCTTAACATAAAGTGCAACATTTTTTGTTATATTTTCACAGATAAAAAGATAATTGTTATTTTTGAGTCAAATAGAATTACTATATGAATAACAATTTTTTTATTTGATCTTTAAAACACTTATATAAAGTATTTAAACTTAAAATTATTGATGATATGAAAACAATTGTATGTCAATTAACTTACGTATTTAATAGTATATTTTGTTTTTAATATTTGAATGGACTCTCCCTTATTCAATCATGTATTCCTTTTGTGGAGATTTTTCTTCATTTCAAATTTCAGAGTTAGGAACGTTGTGTCCAATTTGGATCGTTTTTATTTATTTTTTTGCCCCTTTAATGAAGATGGTTATAGGTCTCTATTGAATGATTTTAGTGATTTTGGGAGTGTTAATAAAATTAAATTGTATTAACGAGTCTAATAAAAAAATGTTATATTATTAATATCTTGAATTGATTTTATTATTTTTCATGTTATCGTGAAACTTGAAGGAAATTTAACGCGGTTTTACTTTTATAAGATACCTTTTTAATGGAAAATATAATTTCACAACCCAACTTCATACTACTCCTATAAATAACTCTATTTTAATATTATAATAATAGTTTTAATTTATTTTTATTTTTATTAAATTATTCAATAAATCATTATATTAATAAAAGTGAACTATTTAAAAAGTTATATGGCTTTTAGTTGTAAAAATATGAACAATTTAGTTTCGCTGATCAAAATCTGAAGGAAGAAAACATTGTTTGGTAAGAGAAATAGATGGAAGAAAACAAAAATTAATTATTATTTTCTCCAAACACATATGATCACTTTTACATAATTACCATTTATCAGGGCCAGGAGCTTGAATTTATTTTCACGCTTGGTTAGAAATTTTGGTGAAAGATATGAGGCCAAGTTTGTTTTCGTTTCTTCAGTTCTGATAAGATCAAAATTTCACCACAATTTCTATTGGTTTATCATCATGGCTACTACACCTTGCTATCTGCTTCTGTTACATGTTCAGATTTTTCTGCTAGGAGGGGTTGTTCCAAATCTACCCTACTACTTATCTCGTCATCTTGCAAGTTTGATTGTGGTGCCTCTGGTTTAACCTCAGCAAACTCTTTGGCTTTACCCCAAAGCACAATATATAAACCAGCAATAACTCCAACAGCCCCTATCAAACTGAAAAATGAATCAAGCATATGTGATCAAGCAGTACATATTATATATTAATATATAATACAACACTGTTTGAACAAAAATAATAGTGTAGTACCTTCCAATGTATACTTCTTCTTGTAAGAATGTTGCACTTATCAAAGCAGTGATTACTGTTGCTAATGGGTTGAACATTGCACAGTACAGAGGACCTCTTTCTGAGATGCACCAGGATTGAATAAAGAAGCTAACCGCTATTCCGATTCCCTGTTTCATAGAATAACAATCATGATTATTATTATTATTATTATAATAAAATTTGCCAACAAGGCAAGGATGCCAGTGTTGTACTACACAACAAATGATTACTAACTCGACTTTTGCTGAGTGGAGTAGAACTTACCGCATATAAAGAACATGAAATCTGCAAAGGTGAATGTAAAATCCATGCTTCAAGATCCGGCTCTGAGAGTAGTGCAAATAGGGCTGATTGTATTGTTGAAAAGAGACACATCCAAAAGGTTGATAGTAAATGGTCTGGGCAAGACGTAGCGATTGGTACCTGTTTGTTAGTTGAGGTTTTGTCAGATTTCCACAGACGGAGAAAGGAATCATCCCAGAATATTCTGCTTTTTATGGAAAATGTTAAACTTGTACTATATTTCTTGGAGACAATTATTTGGTCCCTCGATTATTTTATGTTATTTGCTTTATATCACATATAACTAATATCTTCTGTATATTTACATACTTAAATACATGTAATTTAAGATTAATCTGAACTATAAAAATGTTTGTTAATTAGTTTCAGAAGTGAACACAAGTTAAACTTATCATGCATAATTATATGATGAAAAATAAGAAAAACATAGATCTGTAATAATAAATTCGTTTCTATATATATACCTGGAGGATCATCCAACAAGACCAGAAAACACTGCTCGCTAAGAGCAAGAGACAACCCAGCAACCAATCGTCACTTTCACTGCCAGTGAGATGTATAGAAGGAAGGAACTCCGTGTGCAACAGTTTATGTCCTTTTACCAATGCCATGGTTAAGGCTCCACCAACGCAACAAACTGTCCCCAATATCTTCGCCAAGCTTCTCAAACTTCGTAGTTCAATTTTCTCAAATCTGATTCATTTATTTTAAGATGATACATATCAGCAAAAGAATATTTGATTTTGTGAAATATATACGGTTAATTAGTTATATTGTATTTTTTGTTTAAGTAATTCTGATTTAAGTCCTTTTTTTTCTGTCATATATGGTTGTAGAGTGCATGTATATTCTTAGAGCCGTTACCCCGCTATTGCTGCGATTACAAACGTTAAAGCAGGTATCAGATTACTCATTGCTGTAGCTGCAGTAGAAGATGAATAATATAAACCTCTGAAATATGCATTCTGATTTGCTGTGACTCTGCAGGGAAAAAATAATCTTGGGGTAAGTCTTATAATACTTTTTTTTGGGTATAAAACCACAGCATGTTACAAGTAGTTTTGGAAAACTGTACCCAACAAGAGCGGTCACAAACATCAAAAAGAAACTCCTGAATCCCAAAGAACTTTTCATTGATTGTCTTCTGTTAAAAGAAACAAGCACGTATGTGATGGGAGTTAGTGAATGAGAGGATGAGGGTAAGCAAAAGAGAGGAAGAGATGGTTTAATGTTACCTCTTTGGAGAGAAAAACATAGGGGCCAGAGACAAAGTGGCTATGCCTTGCCTGTACACTACAAAAACGGTTGTCCTCAACCCATCTAACAGGGCTGCTCTGGTGAAGATGGCCAGTGCTGCATAATGAATTTGCAGACCTACCATAATAATTAGAGGAAGATGACTAGCTAAGCTACCCATTTTTTGGAGATGGAAACTAAAGTTGAAATGTTTTGACACCTTCTCTTACATATATGGAGAGGAAGGGAATGGATCTATTTATATCAATACAAGTTCAATTTGTACACCACTTTTCTATAATCTTATCATTATTAAGAAAGAAACAAAACAAAATGTGAAACTAAAATTAATATTGTGACAAGATTCTTTTTTATCTCAACAAATATCTGTTTGAAAACAACTCAGTTTGAGGTAAGGTTAGAAAATAAATTTTGATTGCAAATTTTGATTCAAAGAATTCAAAAACTTATTAAAACAATGTTAATCATAATATCATAATTGAAATTATTTTTTTTATATACCTAATATACTAGAGTAACATAAAAGATACATATGTAAAAATTTACATCAATGATAATCAAAATCAAATTTATACTATTTAAATAGTTTTTACGGACAAGTTCAACATCCAAACTTATTGATAATTTGAAATTTAATTTCTACCATACATATCATATCATATCTCATAAAGACAAATGTAAAAGATTGCTACTTCAAATACTACCATAAAAAAAACGGGGCGACTTTTAGCCACTAACACACTCAAGAGAAAAATGAAAAAAAAAAAAATACAAGTCGACAAATAGACAAATTAAAGAAAAGGGACAACATCCACGTTCATGAATATAGGTGTACCAAAGATAAGGTTAGGATACGCGGAGATTGGGGTCATTGAAAGATGAAATACACCTACACACGTTGAAAAGAGAAAACTAAAAATAAAAAGCGAAGCTTCTAGTAGGAAAGCAATAACTCGATCCTATGTAAGATGCTGAATCATTTATGTTTTTTAACCGCATGGAGTTCTATGAGTAGAACTAATTCTGAATCTATAAAAAATTTCGAATATATTTTTTAATAATTTTTCATCATAAAATTTAAACCTAATTTGAGAAAAAAAAATTCCACGTAGATGAAGGTCCTCTTGATGGAATAATGGTAGAGAGTAGATCTATGTGTTGGGTGGTGAAAAATAATTGAACGTGTTTAGGTGAATATGGCCAATTGCCAAGTGGCGCAAGAGACAGAGTGCAATCAATCTCATTAAAGAAGATAGGTGTCCACGGCATGTTGGCCTAGTCAAAATTATTGGAGGGACACTCACACTCTCAGACATCTCGAGAGTTCATGTCAATCTTTAATTCATATATTCCACGTTCGCACACACAAGTTTGAATTTTCCAATTCAATTATTATTTTCCTTTTCAATTATCTTGTCTTTTCCTTAACGGTGGCAGTTTTTAGCGTACGACTCCATTAAATTCAGCCGAAAAGAATAAAATAAACACAGGGGATATACTCGGATCATAATCAGATTAGTTTTGATGTAATATTAACAATAATAAAAAAAATAAAAAATAAAAAACTTCCACCATTGCTGCTGCTGTAACAGAGCCCCACAAACCAGACATAATAATGGAAGGATATTACCATGAAGATTCCAGTGACTCACTTAGGTTCTCCATTTGTCATCAATATGTAGTGCTTCCTCTGTTTACTTATAAAAAATAATATTTGAATAGTCTTGTATCGACATATATGATAAAAAATGAAAAAAGTGAAAAGTAGAAACTATATTTTTCTAACTTTTGTACAATGACATAATGATAAAAAATAAAAAAAGTGAAAAGTGTAAACTATACTTATATCTGACAAATACAGAGAAAAGTGAAAAGAGAAAGTGAGATGAGAGAGCGAGAGAGCGAGAGAGCGTTGATGTAAATGTATATTATAAAAATATTAGAGTATATATAAATAATGTGATAGAGTCCAATGTACTAAATGTTACATGTTCAATACACATGAAATGTCAGACAGAACAGAGTCAGAACAGTTGTTCTTTTATTCACGGGTAACTCTTAGCAACCAACCTGCACCAAAAAAGATCAAATTTGCGCACATGCCGAAGCTTTGATTGTGTTGTAGAATAGTGTATATTATATATATACCAAGAGTAAGGGTAGTTTTCTACTTTCTACTGGAGTTATAGTGGTGCATTAAATAAAGGAATAAAATGCATTATTGCAACAGTTTTATAATAGCACAACCAAATTGACTCTGACGTTAAACCAGCATTATCTCATCGTTTCTTTGGCAAAACATTTATATTATTGTCATGATTGATTGATTTTGGTTGGCTTAACCATTATTTCCACCATCGAAATTATTAAAAACAGTTTCTCCGCATTTTTTATTGCCACATGTACTTCTTTTGTAAGAATTAAACGTGAGCACTTTTCTCTAAAAAATTCTAAATTTTATTTATCACGATGCGACCTTAAAATTATATATATCGCATTGTGGATAGCTGATTCTGACTAAAACTAATTTTTTCTTTCGTTGAATGGAAATAAATAAATAAATATTGTTGAATGTTTTATTAAATTAAAGAAAAGTAAGATGAAATCTATCGGTAATTTTATTTATTCTATATCTCTTATCTTTGTCTAATAGACCCTAAGCTAAAAAAATATGTCGATTGTCATCTTAATGAATAGGTCGATATTATTGTACTGGAATTCATTGAAGGGCTTCCATCGGTGCCGGCTTATTAGGCTTCGTCTTGTCCTCTACAAACTGAACCTTACCAAAACTCATCTGTCTATCAAATTAGGTTACGTTTGAATAAAAAATAATTTCATTTTCAGAATTCAGTACCATTTTTAAATTTTATAACATAAAACAAAAAAATTATTATTTTAAAACTTTATTTTCCTATTAAATATATTCAAATGGGATCCTATTTTTCTTTTATTTTCTTTTGGGAATAAATATTGTCCGCTTTAAAATTTTAGGCGGTTATAGTTTTATTTTTAAAAGATATTTCGATGAGATTATATATAAATTATCGTTAGTATCTTGATAGAGGTAAGACTAATAAATATATCAAAATATAAGCTCTCAATCGAAGATTAAAAAATATGAGTGAATTAAGACTGTATCATAGACACTAAATGTTCTTATAAGTGACAGAGGTCGATAAGAAGGTTTGATAAAATTAGTAAATCGTATTTCTAGTTTTAACTTTATTTTTAATTTCGAGAATGTTGAATAATTAAAAAAAAATAAAAACTTAAATACAAAAGACACTTTAACGTTAAAGTTAATAAAAAAAATAATATATTTAAAAATAAATGATGATATGAGATTTATTACCTATTTAATTTATGACTAAAAAATAATAAAAACTTCAAATATAATATCTAATCATTTAATAAATAATAATTAATATAAGATATTATAATAAATAAAAAATAATTAAATAAAATAATTTTAATTGATTTGAATAGGAAACACGTAAAAATCCTAAACTCAGAAGTAAAATTTTATTAAAAATAGAGGTTAAACAGATTTAAGATTAAATTAATCAATTTAAATATATTTGTTCTGTAAACTATTATTCATCAAAATATATTCGATTGATCTTTTCTTTAAATGAATTTCACCTTACCACTTCACATCATTTTTATTAACTTTAAAACAGTAATCATGATGTCAAAATTATAGATTTAGACAATTAGTTTTATTTAACATTAAATTGTTTTTTAATATTTTAACGAGAGTTGTTATATTGTTTAATCATAAGACAGTTACTTTTGATTCATATCTCCTAGTCTTATTCTTGTATCCTTGGTGAATCTTGTAGCACAACAACATTAAACAGAAACTCCATGGATCCATATCTCCATTCATCCTCTACCTTTCTGTGCAACTACCATAAGAGAAAATAATCTCAGGTTTCCAGAGAGCTGCACTAACCCATCACCGTCACCGTCGCCATAACCTAGATTCTCCATTGGATCTCCCCCACCACAGGCCACCATTTCAAGTCGCTCACAACAGCATCAGAAGGACTGACTTTGCTGCTTTTATATGACTATCATATCACTTCACTAGCTAATTTTCTCTTCGATTAGAATTTCAGCTATGATTTTTTCTCTCTCTCATTTTTTTTTATCACGTCGTATCATATTATTTTTATTATATTAAAATTTATTTTTATAAATTACTCGATAAAACAATTATAAAAAATTTAAACAACTTATTATATTATATAATATTTTTCTAATAAAATAATTGTTTTAAGTGACTAATAATTTAATTAAACATATAAGAAAATAATTCTTATTGAGTATGTTTTAAGAAATGAAATAAGTAAAAATTAAAATAAATAATAATATTATCTCTTTTAAAATATATAATTTTTAAGATTGAAGTTAAAAGTATCAAAATAAATATTAACTTTTATCATTTAATAATTTTTTTATTGATATTTTTATCATCTTATGATAATATTCTTTTATTCAAAATCTCTTTAACAATTCATTATCTTCAATATATAATAATAAAAAAAATAAGAATATAATTAATATAATATTAAATTTTATAAATAACATATATTATAGAAAAGTTTTACCAAAATATCATATATTTTAAATGTGAAAAATAGTGAACATATAATTTCTCATAATAGAATTATACGATAATATTTATAAAGGATAAAAATATTTTGATAATTTACTTTTTATATGTAACCATATAACAATTTGTATAATATAATAATAAAAATATAGCATAAAATTATTATTATTATTATTATTATTATATTACTGTTATTATAAGAATATTATGAAAAATTTGGTTGCTAGAAAACCTAGCTGTCGGTCATGGGAAGTGTGCTGCATCTTTTTTATTTATTAAAAATTCTAGTGCACCAAACTTCTCCTAAATCATTTTAGTGACTGAGTTATTGTCGAAGATCTGAACCGTGTGATCCGTACAATACAACCATACATATCACGCCATGTCATCTCTTAAAGTTGTGTGCCAATAACATTGTAGATCCAATACAATCTTTCTGTCTTCACCACAAAACATTACAAGTGTAAGTTTAGGATTCTTTTTTTATATTATCAAATTTAAATTAAAACATTAGAAATTAGTTTTTTATCTTTATTTTCTTTAATCAAATGAAAATTATACACTCGGTACAAATTTCTAACCGGTAGTTCTCCTTTATTTGTTTTTAATGACTTTTAATTGAGAAAAAAAGTTCTCCACAAAAACTTCAAATAAAAAAATATATATAAAAAGAGGAGTTCAGATAAATTAAAATTGATTTGTAAAAAATATAAATAAAATCTTAGAAAAAACTATGAGAAAAGTTCTACAAATTAAATACAAAAGCTAATTTAACTTGTAAAAAAGATAAATTTCAATTGCCTTTCGTACTTTTTTTTAATAAATGTTTATCAAGAATATAATCTAAATATGTAATCATATAAAATAGATAAAAATTCAAATTTACAAAGGTTTACGTTTTTCATATGTTTTTGGATTTGAAATAAAATTAGAATAAAAATATATATTTCATATAAAATAAGAAAAGTATGGTAAAAAAAATTATTTGTTGTTTAGATGAATAAAAAAGAGTGAAAGAAAATACATAAACTATTTGACGAATGATGTATAGAAGATTTTAAGCGTATTGCCTTAGCAAATTTTATATTAAGATTATCTAAAAAATTCTTGCTGACAGACTCTCACAAGTTACTACCAGATCATTTCTGTTCATCAAAATGGTTTTAGCAAAGCAAGACACTTAAAAAATTGTGCAGGCATCGTTTTGGAGGCCATAAATATGTTGGATAAAAGGGGAGGTAATGTAGCTATCAAAGTGGACATCAGCAAAGCATTTGATACACTGGACTGAAGCTTCTTCTTCAATGTTATCAATAATTTTGGCTTCGTCCTACGTAAATAAATTTCCGTAATACTTAAAACAAACATAATGGAGAAAGAAGGCTTAAACAAAATTGATGGAATAATCTCGCATCTGTATTTTTTAATAATAAGAGTGTTTATGCAACTTATACAACAAAAGATTAGACAAAGAATAAAAGAATATATAATAGAAAAAATACACCTCAGCATTTTCAATAGGGAGAAAAAGATAAATATTAAAAAATATAATTATGTAATTGTGCAATGGTGCGAGAATAAAACGAGATGTGTTCTGTATGATTAAAGTGAGAATAAGTGAGACTAGTGTGATCTATACAATTATAAGGAGATGATGAGTAGATTTCTTGTTAGTCCTCCATAAGTTAGAAATTTAAAAAAGTCAAGAAACTTAAATTTAGAAAGATTAGATTGAAACAACTTTAGATGAAGAACACTCGTGAAAATATTTACAAGCTGATGTGAGGAGATATTGTGAGGAGATTCATGAATCCAAAATAAAGTTTTGTTCGGACAAGATGACCGTCAATTTTCAATTTTCATAAAACATTAAATTTGCAGACAATGTAGAGAGAATTTTGAGTATCACAATATAAGACAGTATGTTTATTTAAAGGAATATATAAATCTCTTAGTAAATGATATAGTAATTGAAGTTCACAAGTGGTTAATGCAAGAGTCTTATACTAAATTTTTGCATATAATCTTGAAACAACGGGTGTCAACACAAATGGTTCAATCTGCATCACTAAAACCAAATAATTATTGAGAGTTATTCCTGCTAAAAAAGGATTGTGTTTGAGATAACGAGCATAACATCTTGGAAGTGAGATTGTGTTGGTATAACCTAAAATTAACTAAGTTGCAAATGCAATATTAGGATGAGTATAGGTTAAGTATATCAAATGTTCAATCAAACGCCTATAGGATATGGGATCTTTAAAAGGATCATTAGAATCTTGACAAAGTCTTATTGTACATGATTTAGAACCAAGAAGACCTGCATCTTTAATTAAAGTTTACACAATATTTTCTTTGACATAATGATATTCTTGAGGGTGAGTGAACTACTTTTATAACCAAAAAATATTTCAATTATCCCAGTGTAAAAATGAGCATGCAGAGTATTTTTTATATTCTCGATTTTAGTAAGACATTTGTCAAGGAACCACAAGGAAGATTTTCACTGAACATGAAGATAATTACTTATCCAAGTGTGAAAGTCCACTTTCAAGGATTCAAGATAGAAGAAGAGATGAACTAAAGCATGAAACAACAAAACACAAAGTTGAACGTGAACCAAAGTCGATACAGTAAAATACATAGAAAAAAAAGGTAACAAAAATGGAGAAAGAGAAGAAGTGAGGTGACCAAGGGGTGATGACATGTCACTTAAGGGATGGACCAACCCCAGATGAGTGGTGGTTGCTTACTAAGGTAGTGTGACCTTTGCTTCTAGGAAGTCAAATGTTGACCTCCTCTCTTATTATGGGTTGTCCCATGCTCCAACTCTTGGATCTAAGACTCCTTTCCTCCAAAAAAGGTGGTAAACTTTAAAAAGAGAGGTGTTCTACAACAGTCTTACAAAAACATGATTAAACACGAGTCCAAAAAATCAGAGAGAAAGAAAAATGCTAAGTAAATCAAAGAATAAAGGTTATGAGGAGGCTTCCTTTTTTACAATACTTCTAGTGATACTTTTCAGGATGACCTCTCCCTCGTCAAGGGAACTTAGGGACTCATCATGATGTATTGACAATAGGAAGGAAATATACATGAGTAATCAACAGAGTTTTGTATAGGATATATGAAACCTTTGGAGATGGTTGGTTGGATTGTAATAAAACATGAATTATATTGCTTGAACAAATGTTGCATTCATAGTCAGCAATGTAGGTGGGGTAAACATGAGGGCGATTGGATTGGCAAATAGGTGGGGTTACAAGTTCCATTGTGAGAAGTGACAAGGAAGATATGTTTGGTTGGAGTGAAAGAGATGACCAAGTTGAAGATTCAGAGAGAGGAGCAGTGTTAAAGGTAGGGGTATTGGGATGGTTAAAATGTTGTTGGGTGGGTGTTGAAAGGTGGTATTGGGTTGTTGGTTAAAAAGGTTTGAATTGGACAAAATTTTGTTGATAAGGGGAGTATGTTTATTGGGCTGATAAGGAGAAGATATTTTGGTAAAAGGAAAAACCATCTCATTAAAGCTAACATGTATAGAGACAAAAAATTTTGTATTATTTAAATCTAAAATAACAAAATCCTTTGTCATAGTTTGAAATACTAGAAAAGTATCCTATTTAGCACGAACATCAAATTTTTGTTGAGAGGGTGTGTTGAGGCATAACTAAAGCAACCAAAAACTTTTAGCATAGAGAAATCGGGAGTTTACTAGTACAATAATTCAAAAGGTAACTTACTTTAAATTATGGGAGAAGGAATTCTATTTATGAGATAAATTACATTTACACCATATGACCAATAATGTTTTGGAAGTTAGGATTGAAACATAAGTGTCTAGCAATATTAAGAATATGTTGGTGTTTTTGTTCTACCCTTCCATTTTGCTGAGGTGTGTATATACAACTGGTTTGGTGTAAAATCACTTTTGAGGAATAAAAATCATTTTGGAGAAATTAAAGACCATTGTCTGAACGAATACATGTGATGGTAGTATTCGTTACCTAAACAAAGAGTATTGCAAAATCTCTATGTTCATAATATGCTTCATGTTTCCTCCCACAATTCGAGGCATGCTTCATCTTGCAATTCCAGGCGACACTCACCCATGAAAAATGTGTTTTGTGAACATTGTTGGGCTTTAAGAGTAAGGATCGCACAGATATTATGAACGTTGTGTGTTTACTCCTCAAATATTGTTCTGTGAAGATGGGTTGATGCTCATACCACACCTATAAATAGACCACTTTACACTCCTCCAAAACACACAATCATTCATCTTCTCTTTTCTCTTTTTCATTCTTTTCTTATCTTGGGCTTATATACTTTTTTAAGAGTTTCTTGTTATATTCTGAGTTCCTCGAAAAATCCAAGAAGTTCATGTTGTATCTTGGGGGACTTG